GGGAGCAGGGAAGGCAAAAAAAAAAAAGCGTATTAAACGTCAGCAACGATTTTGTTCACAAATGGAGTTTCACGTCAAGTGAAAATGACGTTTTATAAGACAAGAAAACAATTCCCGGCTAGCGTTTTACATACGCAGAATTGTTCGCCAGCAATGCGTATAAATAGCAGGCTGGATCTATTGAGGCCGTCAGTGTCATGAATAAAGATGAGGGACAAGAATGCACGGCGGTGTTAATTTAAATCAGCCTCTCAAGAAACACTCCAGCTTGTAACACAAGGATGGCACTGTTGTCACTGAATATTTCCAACACTGAGAGAGGTATCGTGAGACACCCGAAACGTCTATGGGCAATTTAACTCCTCAACTGCTGCTCTGTTATTGCTGCCAAACAGCATGCCGGGGAGAAAGCAACTCTGACCTTTAAGATCCAGTCACCAACGTGTATTTGTAATCATCTAAATCTCCACTCAGCCTAACTACTCAGCGATGGCTTTTCTTTATTTATTTACTTCTATTCTCTCCCTGTCATTGCAATGTTGGGCTGTAAAGACCCCTCAGGAGCTGTCCACTCTCCTGCTTTAGCTCATTGTCTGAAACTTATAAGGCCCCTTTCACATGCGCTGATCAGGAGGCAAACCCGTGCGCGAATCCCCTCCTCCGAGTACGGATCGGATGTCACCGCTATGACATCCATGACGGCCCAGTTTTTTGCTCCCAAAAAATGAAATGACCGGACCCCACGTCAGTCTATGAGGAATTGGATGTAAATGGATTGCTCCCAAATCTGGCACAGTTGGGTCTGTTAAAACGGAACACTGTTCTATTTGTTTTTCCGGGCCTTGCCAGAGCCGGGGGTAACTAGGAGTAAATAGACACCTGTCCATTTAGACCCGGCTGCCCATAGACTAGCAATGGGCATCCAATCAGGTCCGCCTGAAAAGCTGGCAGGCAGACTCAATCGGACCGCCGGAGTAAAGGGGGCCTTAGGGTGTTATATGAACAAAAACAGAGGCTATGTTGACTGACAGCGTTCTGCTTCTCCAGCAGCCTGGACAAATGATCCGTTATCAGTTCTGAGCATAGACAAGATATGGATCCGCCTCTATTGGGGGTCCTTACAGCCTGGCACTGAGCTGCTAGTTCTGCTCTGACAGGGAGAGAATACAATGAAATAACAACACATACAGCTATCCTCCGGAGTAAAATAGGGTATACATTTTTTTGGTGGGCTGAACAAAAAAAACCATAACAGATTCCTCCGTCCATGCTAAACAGCGTGGATGGACGAATCTCCAACCGAATCTCCAACCGAATCTCCAACCGTGAACTTTGTTTTCTGGCAGTGGCACCGGCTGCTGTCAGAATACCCATTTGGCTTAAGATTCCTAAAGTGCTCCTTTGATCCTATGCTCAAGGGATGCCAACAAGGATGCGAATTTCGGATGGTTCTTCAAGAACCGCCTGAAATTTGCATAGTGTATGTCCAACTTAAGGCTGCACCATGATGCAGTCTCAGATATTTCCTACAGATGAAACTTGGGCTTTAACATGGAGATCAGGATCACTTTGTTGTCTGCCCTCACATGTGAATACCTGTGTGGTCAGAGCTTACATAGGGCTGCGGAGTTTCTCCCTGCCCCATGTGATGGCACCCAGCGCCACACCAGGGGAGGAAGGGAAGTGAGCTACATACACTCCATACCTGTACCAGGTATGTCACGTAGCTCTAGCTAATGAAGCAGCGGGGGGAAGCCAAGAAGCGGCAAACATAACCCACCGGCCTGCAATTAAAGAAACCTCTCAAAAATCACTGAAGTATTTTCAGTCCTTGCCCTTTGAAATATAAAACACCCCATGGAGGAAACATAACACA